CAAAGACACAAAACCAAAAACGAAAATAAAGAGAAAGGAAAAGATACAAACGTACATGGCACAGTGACTAGACTAGTCACTGTGAATCTGGTGGTGCTCGTGGAGGGGTGGAGGTAGTCAAGCTCCAAACAGCGGCGGGCCTCTGTCAACTTGAATCTCTCGCCCCATTTCGATCGGGGCAGCTCTCTAGAACTCGGCTGGGGAGGGGCAAGGGGACTGTCGGTTCGGCACTCCTTCGGGACATGAACACGGTCCTGAAGTGATCTCTTCGCGTGCTCACGCATACATGCATCCTCGGTAAGCTTGTTAATCGCCCAAATATACGCACACTCTTCCACTAGCTCCGCTTGCGGCTCCGGCTGAGTCTCTCGCATAGAAATGAGAGCAGACTCCCCTAACACGGTCATGCTTGTCGTCCCCTTCTTCACATCAATAACGGTGCTAGTGGTGGCCATGAAGGGTCGCCCGAGGAGGATGGTGTGCTGCTTTTCACTATCTTGCACGTTTCCCACATCGAGCACAATAAAATCCACGGGGACAATCAACTTCCCCACTCGGAACATCCTCAACAATCCCCTCTGGTTGACGGAACGAGCGGTCAACCAGCTGTAAATGAGTCGTGTGGATGACTGTTTAGATAGATAATCCGATGAGTCGTGTGGATGACTGGTTTTGGACTATTTGATTTGTAGATCCTTTTGACAGTTGAAACCACAACTTTGAATGAGAGTTATAAAGATGTGACTTACAGTGGTTGCAAGTAAAGCCCATCAGATTTTAGTTACATAAAATGTTGTTTGAAAATCATACATCGTAAACAATGGATTGTGTTGTAAAGAATTTAGATTCGAAAGGATTAGATTTTCCACGCGGGCCGGGCTTGGGTGGGAGTTGCGGGCCCTTGACGATCGGAAGAACATCTCCAGTGGTCCAATTAAAATGAGACATGAATTGAAACATAATTTCTGAATAAGAATCTTATTATTCAACCTTTTTAAAATAGAAACAAAATTTGATATGGTCCAATTAAAAAACAATTTACCGGTTGTTACTAGGTTTGAAACTCAAACGAGATGGTTTAACGTGGAGCT